GCAAGCAATATTTACTCATACTATTTAATAACTTAAAAATAGTATTCCAAGCAATCGCATAATTCAGGTATAACACGTGCGTATATGTGCGACTTATGCAGAAGTTTATTCTCACCTATATGTTAATTTAATAAGTATAGAAGCTTAATATTATATTGCATTTTGCTCGCAAGATGTTCTGTGTACTTCATTCTATTTATTTATGTGTTATTCTTGCTATTAATTCTAGTAAAGTGCATAATAGTGCACAATATTAGTATTTTAATGTTTCTTTGTACTTGTTTGTAAACGTTGTTAAATTAATATTAGAGTTATTTATATCTCTCAATTACACAACAGTTTCAAAATTTACAATTTCATTTATAGTATTTTTCAAAATTATATTTTATTAAATATACAAATTGCATTTTGTTTACATTCTTATATAGGTTCCAAAAATACTCTACATACGTACATTGTTTACTAGAACTGATATCCTGCAAATTTTCCATTCTCACTTATGAACAAGATGAAAATGTATGGAACAACATATGTTACACCTATAAGTTAAAAAGGGGGAATAGTGCTAATGAAGCGACACCAGTCCACTATAAAAGTGGCTGCAACGAAATAGGTAGTACTGTTGAAAATGTTGCGTAACAGTGAAATGAAACACAACGTTGGAGTCTCTGCAGTATTTTATTCAATATTATTATTTTTCTATATATCTGTGCAGTTCTGTGCAACATTACCTGTATCCAATGAAGACTATAGCATAACAGCTACAACATTAATGCAAAATTCAACGGATGATAATTTGTAAGATTTTATAATTTTAAGGCTTTTTGTACATAGACTATATTCATACATATATAACATATACATTGATTTAATTAATAACTTTTGCTATAGATACGTTATAAAAGCAGTGGTATATGAAATTGGAATTTTAACAGATGCTAATAACACAAGCGACGAAGTTACAGAAAGGTAATGTAAGAAGAAACTTTTCGTATCAGATGAAATTATAACTTCAATAATTACTCATTTATAATATGAGACAAAAACATTATATTTCCTTTTCCTTAATCTTTGCTTTGGTATGGGTTACTTGAAATATTCATGTAGAAATACAAATTATACTAAAATGATCTTCTGTTACTTTTTTATTTTGTTCTTAGGCAAGATGTCAAAATTTCTTTCTACAATCCACCAAATAAGAGCACTGGACCCTAAAATAAGTGTAAAATAGCAAATAGATTGAAAACGCATAAGAATGTAATTATTTGTTGAAAATAGGTACTAGCTTTTAAATTAATATATTTATCTTGTTATAGTAAGATAGTATTATTATAAATAATGCATGTAAATTCGTAACATGAATAATAAAATGATGTTTCAATTGTAAAAAGGTAAAGAACTTTTTAACTTTTAATTTCAAATATATCAATATTCCAAAACTATTCTTCTGAAGTATTATAATCTATAAATGTGTTACTTTCATCATTTGAATGTACCCGCTGTATTCATTTCTTGCTGTAAAACCATAGAGACGTTGAACTTATCTACAATTACCAATACCTAACAGTTTGAGCATTGTGTCACTGGACTAATTGGCGCTAAGCAAAGTTTCAAGATTATAACACTAGAAGTGCCACAATCACTGGTATAATTTACAGTGGTACGATAGCGGACTCCACCTAAATGCAACGATCAGCTAGTGAACCACATCTGACTACACAAAGAATAATGTGTCTGAGGTGGGTTAAATTTACAGCGTTGCCAGCTTTTAAAAGTACATTATTGCAGCGTTATATCCCTACGAAAACTACCAATATCACCTCCGACTCAGAGGCATCCAATCCGCAGTGAATCAAGTCTTAGCACGGGAACTTCAACCAATCAAAGCAAAGCAATTTCTATTCCTATTTTGGCTTACAAAACTCGTCTTACAAAACTTGAGGTCAGGCGCCTGATCGTTTTTGGAATTTTCACTCAAACCCAGTGTGTCAAGGATTCTGCTTGGAATCTGTTCCAAATGACAGAGAGGAGACCTTGCCAATGGATCCATTGGCAATCCATTGGAATCGTCCAAAGCCATTTGCGAAGTCTTCTTTCCGCCACTTGGAGCAGATTCCAAGCAGAATCATTGATACCACAACACTAGCCTTCAGTGGAAATTCCACGAACGGTCAGGATGCTGGGAGGTCTCCTGAAAGCTCTGTCTGGAACTGTTAGAAACCATCTGGAACTGTCTGGAACAGTCTGGAATGTCTGCTTGAGGTTCAGATTGCGGCATTATGTAATTTGCATTTTCCATAATATTGTAGTATTTCCATAGTATTGCAAGTGCTTTTTGGAGAGATTTCACTAATTTTTGCTATTACTATGTATTTTTACAATCGATATGTAGAAAGTCATTATTCTATACAATATAGTGTGTGTAATTACACTTTATATCGTATTTCTGTAGTACATGTATCATAAATGCTATTTCTATTTCTCTCAAATAATGTTCAGCACTCGTAGTAGAAGTGAAGTATACAGGATATTCGCTTCTTGCTAACGTACCCATTTTTCGTGATTTATCGGTAAGGCTGAGCGCGACACGAGATGGTAACGAGGATTTAAAGTCCCTCAAAACTAAAACAGAAAAGTCCATTAGATGCAATGTCTTCACGGATCCTAAGTCTATACCGAAGGCTTAGAGCAATATGTATGTGCTCTAAGTTTGCAGAATCGTCAGATAACATGAATTAGAATTATTACAACATAATTAAGGCAAAAAAAAAATTAACCGTGATCATAGAATCCAGGAAAGTCTGTTTCTTGGATATCATGCGAGAAAAGCACATGACAACTCTGTAAAGCATGATTAATTAACGAAATAATTAATTAAATTTCAAACAACAATTGATTAAGTCTTATAATTTTGTCATTTTTTTAATACGATAACTGTGTAGTAAATTTCCTTGAACAAACCTGCATCCTTGGTTTGTTCTATAATCCCTAGTTTTGTAATAATTAATCTTTTTCATCAATCCTGCATATTGTGCATGTAGGAGAGACTTACTAGTTCGAGCGTGTTACCATTTTTTAAACAACCATAAATAGATGTATTTAATAATGATAATCTATGGTGTGAAATGGATACGGAATTCGTAAATTATCGACAGCGATAACGTTGTGCGCGATACGTAAATAGTGTAAGAACTTAAAACCACGTGTGCCGTGCACGTGCACGTTTCATTCCTATTGCGATAAACAATAGATGAAAATATGTGATTGATTCAGTTAAATTTATATTTAATGTAACTAGTAATTTAGTTTCGAAATGTTTTCAACATTACTAGCGCGTGTTTGTATCCAAAAGAGAAATCATCAAGTTAAGAACATCATTATAAGACAATATTCTTATGGAGACCGTAGCAAGTCTACACTTGATATATCGTATTCGAATTTAAAACAATTCTGTAAAGAAAGATCTCTACCCATAATAGATGGCCATACTTGTATTATGTTGGACTGCCCTATATGCAACAATATAAAGAAAAGTTCAAAACTTTATATAAATAAAACAACAGGTACATTCTATTCTCATATAAGTATTCTAGAAATAATTTTGTATATACAGGTAAAATTAATAATAACAATTTTAGGTTTTTTTATGTGCAATAAATGTAAGCACAATGGCTCTTGGGAAATACTAGAAAAATTTTTATTATTAGAAAAGTCAGATAGAAAACATAAGGAATTTGATGCGTTGAAAGCAAATTTACAAGTGGAAAAGAGTTTTAACAAAAAATGGGAAGATAAGAAGAAATACTGTCAAAATATTGAGGATTTAACGATAGAGGAATATAATGCCTTACTTAACGATTTTGCATTTCCGGTAAAAAACTCAAGTAAAGCTTAAAAATCTTTTGTAATTATGCATGGAAATGTGAAATGTAATTCTTTTTTCAGCCAGTCTCGCAAGAAGATTTGAGTCAGTTGAACTGTATTTATGACAAAACATCATGTCTGTTGCACTTTCCTTTAACAGGACTAAGTAATTCTATCGTTGGATATAAGTCCCTTACAAAATGCTCGGTAGTAAAGCGAACAGTTCCTGTTTCTGGGGTTAGTGGTTGTATTACATATAAACAACAAAGTAGTAAAACTGATAGTACTGCTGTAGTTGTAGGAACAATACAAGATTTATTGGCTCTGGTGTTGCAAAAATCAGCAAATACAATTATCTGTCTTCCATACAATTTGCAAAGTCTACCTCAACCATTACTACCATATATGGAATCTTTCAAAAAATTAATTTTGTGGTTTCCAAACGATGAGACAAGTTGGTACACTGTTAAACAATTTGCAAAGAAATTAAGCGAAGGACGATGTTATTTTGTGAGACCAACAGATTCACAACCTCAGCCAAGATTCGCACAACAATTGGGTTATAATTTGAAAGACATTATTCAAAATGCGCAATGTATGTGGCATAAAAGTATAACTACATTTGAACAATTAAGAGAAGAAGTGTTAAGCGATATACAAAATGTTGATAAGGTACAAGGTGTGAAATGGAAAAGATTCCCAGTCCTAAACAAGATATTAATGGGCCACAGAAGAGGAGAATTTACAGTTTTAACAGGGCCAACTGGTAGTTTATCTGGACATTATCAAACTTTTTGAATTGCACTTCTTATAATAAATATTGATATATCGTTTCTTTTTGTCAGGATGCGGCAAGACAACATTTATGAGCGAGTATTCTCTAGATTTAGCAATGCAAGGTGTTAATACCTTATGGGGTAGTTTTGAAATAAGGAATGCACGATTAGCAAAAACCATGTTACAACAGATGGTAGGAGTACCTTTGGATGAAAATCTTGAAAATTTTAATACTTACGCGGATATGTTTGAAAAATTACCAATCTATTTCATGACATTTCATGGTCAGCAAAGTATAAAAGTTGTAATGGATGTAGGTATATAGTAGCAATCGGTTGTTAATTGATTCTGCATTAATTAAGCAAAGTTAAAAACAATGGTATCTCTATTGCAGGCAGTCGAACATGCAACTTACATTCATGACATAGCTCATTTAATAATTGACAATATTCAATTTATGATGGGAACCTTGGATGACTCTAAACACATGGACAGGTATTAAAATATTTTTATGCGTCAGACAGAAATATTTTTACAAAAAATATTACGATCTTATAGATTTTGGAGACAAGATGACATAATTTCAAGATTCAGAAATTTTGCTACTAAGCATAATTGTCATGTGACTGCAATAATACATCCAAGAAAAGAACGTAATGAAGAAGAATTAACAACGTCATCGATTTTCGGAAGCGCTAAAGCAACTCAAGAAGCAGATAACGTTCTTATTATTCAAGATAAAAGACTGAACAGCATCCGAGGCAAAAAATATTTACAAGTATGAGCATAAACAGGAAATAATTATAAAAACAGAAATAAATTATTAAAGGATGTTATACTCTTAGGTGGCAAAGAATAGATACAGCGGTGATTTAGGAATCATGGCATTAGATTTTGTAAAATCCGGTCTCAGCTATTCATCAAAAATTAAACAACAAGAGGACAGCTCGCATAAAAAGAAATCCTTAACAGAGAAGCCAGAGACATAACAAAATATTAAAACACTTTTTATATGATTGATATTGAACAAATCTTATTTTGTTCAATGTGTTATGTGATAAAATCTTGTACTATAAATATTATAGAACAAAATCTGTATTTCTGTACATTAATGTTTGTAAATAGATATATTTATAATACATATAATTGTGTATGTGAATTTTTATGATTTTGTTGAACCAAACTTTTTGAACGATTTTCTCAGATTCCGGTCGATATATGTAACTATATACTTCGAATATGTATATTCGAAGAGTTTCTGACTATTCAAGTAAATTGTGATAATCGCATCGTTAATAAGGGTAGTTCACCGGTTTACCGACTACCCGCGTAGGCAGTGTAGCAACTGGACCTCAACGTATCTATACATACGTTGCATACATAAACAACATTCGTGTACTCTTTGACGTGGGTGATGGGTGATCAAATTTGATATGAAATGTACAGAAATGGTAAAGCAATAAACGAGAGACCGTAGAATAAGGAACAAATATAGAGTTCACGCCTGTATCTTTTGTGTATATGTATTGACTCGTAAAAATTTTATAGTAGTTAAGGAAAAATAACAAACAGTTAACCGCATGAGATATGGGATCAGTAAATAATGTGCTCATTTCTTTTATTTTTATCGTTGCGTTTTCCATAACCTGTTGTGAAGATTTGAAAAAGCCGACAGTTTTAATATCAATTTTAGTACGAAATAAGGCACACACGTTGCCATACTTTTTAACCTTTTTAGAACAGCTAAATTATCCAAAAGACCGAATACATTTGTGGTAAGTGTATTTTGTGTAATCTCACTTTTTCTCTGAAATTGGACTATAATGTAAATATAATTTAACCTATGCGCATAGATCAAACATTTGAAAAATATATTTTGAAACTCTAAGTTCGTTAAGCACCCAAAAATATTGTTTTCATTGTGAAAGACACATTAATTGTAAATTTAACAAACATAAATATGTTCGTTAAAATTTATTCGATAATTATTATATATGTTCGCAAAAGTGTTCACATACCTTCTAAAACCGGTCTAAATAATTTGAATTTTTTTGTAAATGTTTGAGAAACTACTTCATTGTACAATGACTAAAGTACGTTTTTTTTCAATTTTGTTATTACTTGGAATAAAAAAGAGGAAAAGAATCTTGTTTCTCACTTTTTTTAGATGAGCCTATAATGAAAATGAAAAAAATGCGTTTTGTAGATTTCGGTAATTATATATGTATTGAAAATTTTATTTAAATAGGTTGACGCATGCATAGCCAAGTTACTAACACAGAAACGTAAGAACTACCTGGGTGTTGTTGAAATTCGTGAAATACTCTTATTTTAACTGCTCATAACAACATCAACCGATTTCATTAAAATTTTCATTATAGACTCTGATTATTCCAATTAATAGCAAAATTAAAGAAAAAATATTTTAGTCATTGTACAGTGAAATAGTCCCTCTAATATTTATTAAAAAATTTAAATTGTTTAGACCAGTTTTAAATAAGTCATACCGTATTAAAATACGTATGGATACTTTTGCTCCTTATTGTATGCATGTCCATATATACAAGTAGTTTGTTTATAATATTCTATATGTACATATATGTATGTATATGCGTTGTATGTATGTGTGAGTATATAATTGAAAAAATTTAGGCCATTAGAATGCAGAATTTAACTTTTGTCTTCAGAAGTTAATTATGTAAAATTATTTTTAAGTATATACAGCGACAATAACATCGATAATTCCATTGAAATTCTGTCTACGTGGATAAACAATAGAGTTAACGAATATCATGGAATCGATAAAGATTTCAACGAAAAATCAAATGGCTTTGAAGACGAAGATGGTGTCGCCGATTGGTCAATCCAAAGATTTCTACACGTGATAAATCTGCGTGAAAGAGGCCTTAACGCAGGGAGGCAGCTCTGGGCAGACTTTGTTTTGGTATTTAAATACATATTTTCATATTATAAGTGCATATTATTGTAATTCTATAAATTTATTCTATTTTATAATTACAGATGCTCGACGCGGACGTTTTTCTAACGAATCCAAATACTCTTGATAAATTAGTTTTAAAAAATGAGATTGTAGCCAGTCCATTATTAAAATCAGATGGCATGTACAGTAATTTCTGGACTGGAATGAACACCTATTATTATTATCTTAGAACGGACAAATATGATCAAATATTGTTTCGCGAGGAAACGGGATGTTTTAAGGTACCAATGGTTCATAGCGCGGTTCTTATAAATTTGCGAAGATCCATTTCGGATCGTTTATCTTATGACCCGCGTTACTTGGATCAGTATGATGGCCCTGTGGATGACATTATAAGCTTCGCTGTTGGAGCCAACAAATCTGGTATATCATCTTCATTCCACAATTTTAAATAATCTCGATTCGATTACATATCTCAGTTCTTCCAAATTATGTTATTCCCGTTATTGGTTACCATTTATAGATATACCACTGTTTATCTGTAACGACGAAGATTACGGATTTGTTACGATGCCGTTGGAGAAAGGAGAAACAATCACGGACGATTTAGAGCTCTTGACCAACATTAAAACGGAAATATTAAGTATGTTGATGGGTCCAATGAAATTAGTAGTTAGGAAGATAATAAATGGAACGAACGTTTAAAAAATTCACATTACGTTTTGTAATGAGATGCATTTTCCGTGTTTTACTAGACACTAATAATCTTACGTTGTCAAAGGATCTTGAACAATATGTTCAATATCCTACAGAGGATACACTAGGGGTCGATCAAATTTATATGATAAATCTTTTAAGAAGACCGGATCGAAGAAACAGAATGCATCAACTTTTTAAAGAACTTGGTATTCATGCGCAAACAATTGATGCTTTTGACGGAAGGTAAGTTTAAAATATTGCAGTAGTATTCGAAATCTATACTAACGTAATGTTAGAAGAATTTTTTAGTAAAAATTAGCAACCAGCCGCATTTACAAATAAGGTATTGGCTTAATACAGTTTCTATAATATTTGAGACATTATTACATTTATTTATATAGGACATTAAATCGATCAATTCTAAGCGATGCTGGCGTGGAAACAATGCCGGAATACTCCGATCCCTATCACGATAGGTAAGTACGTCGTACAATTATAGCAAAAAATGAAAATAATTGCAGCATATTTCATCCATTGATAATGACTGTATTTTCAGACCAATGACTATGGGAGAAATTGGTTGTTTCCTAAGTCATTACATTATTTGGAGCGAGGTAATTTGAAATTGGAAGAAACGAATTGCTTTAATCGAATTGCTTCCTATTGCTCACATGTCGTAGTAAGCTCGTACTAAATTATTAGGTGATAGAAAGTGACTTGGAAACCGTTATAATCTTGGAAGACGACGTTCGCTTCGAACCGTTTTTCCGACAAAAGGTGAAGTATATATTAACAGAGCTCGATAATCTTAATGTCGTATGGGATTTGATGTAAGTATTTTTTAACGTCTAACAAACTGTGATGCACTTCTTATGTGAAATATACGAGTATTATGGTACCGATTCTATATTCTGTTACAGCTACTTAGGAAGAAAAAGATTAATAGAGAACGCCGAATCTCCTATTGATGGATCAAAATACTTAGTACGTGCTGCTTACAGTTACTGGACACTAGGATATATCTTATCGAGAAGCGGAGCAAAAAAACTCGTAGAAGCAGAACCGCTTAAAAAATTAGTGCCCGTTGACGAATATCTTCCAATATTAGCTGACACACATCCAAAGTATGAAAGACATTGTCGAACAGGCTTATTACCAAAATTTTCTTCTGTTTATTAACGTAATAATTTCTTTCCATGTGCAATAGAAAAGAGTGGAAAGTTCACTATCCGAAACGAGATTTGATAATCCTCTCTGTAAATCCTTTGTTAATTCATCCGACTCATTATACCGGCGATCAAGGATACATCAGCGATACAGAAGACTCGACGATCATAGTTCTGGACGAAAACATAAGTAAATCCAAAGAACGAGAAGAGTTATAAGTGCCATAAAAATTGTGTGTTTTACGACCTATGATGAAAAGAGATATGTACGATATTGTCCTTTTAATCGAATCGTAAACAATTGCACAACAAATAATTCACTGCCATGTAAATCTTTAGAATCTAAGAACATAAAATTATAAATGATAATGGAGAAAATATATTTTCCTATAATGCATTTATGGGTTTAATGCGTGATTAAAAAACGATTTCAATATCCTCATTTTACATTTGCAGTAACAGCTTAATAAGACTTCTATCCTTTCTACGTTACTTTGCGATACAGCACAAGGTCGAAGCAAGCTGTCAATCAATTATTGGTACATAATGCAATTTTACTGCTATTTGTAGTATATACATATGTATTACTAATCATACACATACCAAATTTTTTCTTCACTCTCCAACGTCGCGTTTTGTTTCTTGAGCAACGTGATGTTACGGAGAGTACGTAACTGTTTCGTGCATTGAGCGTACGGCTTAATCTGTGTCTATGTTTTATCGCCATAAACGAGGTGTGGTTTATTGAAATCGAGTACATACAGAGTATAGTGTGCCGAGTTTCGGAGTTCTAGTTAGAGCAAGTTTAAATTAAAGCTAATATCAACTAAAGACAGACAAACACGATGATCGGCCGTCTTCCTGCATGTGTAATTGATGTAGGTACAGGGTAAGTAAATTTTGTAGTTTCACATTGTTTAACCCCGGCGAAAATAAATAGGCTAGGACGTGACTAACTCATGACACATGACATTTTCTACGCCTGATAAACAATTCTGAGAAAATGGATTCGATTATACACTTATCTAATAAGCTGTTAATTACAATTTTTTTTAATTTTATTTTGATATCGTATAAGAACAATATATTTCTAGGTTTATATTGAACTGAAAGGACAAATTATGTATATGACAAATGTATCTACATGCATACATTTGTGCGTTTTTAAATTTATATGTGCACGTATCTTATGTGTGGGAAGGTACGAATTAAGTTTAAAACAGAAAAATAATATTTGTTCGTGTTTTTCATAGTTACACAAAGCTGGGCTTTGCTGGCAACAAGGAACCTCAACTTATGATACCATCAGCAATCGCTATAAAAGAAACTCCAAAAGTTGGAGATAATAATGCCAGAAGAGTTACCAAGGGTGTCGAGGATTTGGATGCCTATATTGGAGACGAAGCTTTTGAAGCCACTGGATATTCTGTAAAAGTACGCCTTGTTAATTACCTGTGAATAGCATGTTTGACTTGTTACCTATACAGGTATTTTTCAGTATTCGTGAACAAGCGTATCTTATAATATGGATCAAGATACTGTTCCACATTCATGAAACAATAAACTTTCATGGAGTTATAGCATGAGGTTTCATATTACTTTTAATTTGCTGACACAATTAATATAAGAAATGAAATGCTATTTTACAGGTTTCATAACTCAAGAGAATCCAGTCGAGCATGCTTGAATTATGTACATAAAATATCATTTATTAAATACAGTACTATTTGATATTGATTGTTTTGCTATTTTTGTTTAGTATCCAGTTAGACATGGACTGGTAGAAGATTGGGATTTGATGGAAAAATTTCTGCAGCAATGCATTTTCAAATACCTCAGAGCAGAACCCGAGGATCATTACTTTTTGCTTACAGAACCACCATTAAACACTCCTGAGAACAGAGAATACACTGCAGAAATAATGTTTGAATCATTTAATGTACCAGGCCTTTATATTGCAGTACAAGCGGTACTAGCGTTAGCTGCTTCTTGGGCAGCTAAGAGTGTAGAAGAAAGAACATTAACAGGAGTTGTGGTTGACAGTGGGGACGGAGTAACACATGTAATACCAGTTGTAAGTATAGTAATATAAAGAGCATTCATTTTGCGGTATATTATATAATATTTGTTTATAACGTTCATGGTTTTCTAGGCAGAAGGTTTTGTTATCGGAAGCTGTATAAAACATATTCCTATTGCTGGACGAGACATAACGTATTTTATACAGAGTTTATTGAGAGAACGCGAAATTGGAATACCACCTGAACAGTCGTTAGAAACAGCCAAAGCGATAAAAGAAAAACATTGTTATATATGTCCCGATATTTCGAAAGAGTTTGCTAAATATGACAGCGATTCTTCTAAACTAAAAAAATACGAAGGTATCAACAGTATTACTAAACAACCTTTCGTTGTCGACGTCGGCTATGAGAGGTTCCTCGGACCAGAAATATTTTTTCATCCCGAAGTACGTCCAAATTCTGAATTATAATTTTCATCAACAAAACTGGCCAGCATCTTGTCAATTTTTTCACAAATTTCCTTTCATCTTTTTAGTTTTCTAATCCAGACTTTACAACGCCGTTGAGCGAAATTGTAGATGATGTGATACAAAATTGTCCTATAGATGTGAGAAGGCCATTGTATAATAATATTGTTCTGTCCGGTGGATCCACGATGTTTAAAGATTTTGGCAGGCGATTGCAACGTGACATAAAGCGCATCGTTGACGCGCGTCTTAAACTCAGCGATACGTTAAGTGGAACTCATATTACGGTAAGATGTGGATGTGAGAATCAAATCATATCAAAATTCAATAGTAATTGTATCGAAATCAAAGTGTAGCTAGTGGAAACACATACTAAATATTGTTGCCTTTTTTACAGCCGAAGCCAATAGATGTACACGTTATATCACATCATAAGCAACGTTGTGCTGTATGGTATGGCGGTGCGCTATTAGCCAGCGATCCTGAATTTTACACGGTTTGTCATACCAAAAAAACTTATCTAGAATACGGTCCAGGCATATGTCGTTATAATCCTGTATTTCATAGTATGGTGTAAAATAAATAAAAATATATGTAATTCAAACGAAACGACATTACACACAGACTAATAATCGGAATTTAGAGTCATTAATGAAATTTTTAATAACTTATTCCGATCTTAAATTTTTTGACTTATAATTATATTTCATGAGATATACCGGGCGTTCATGTCATAGATACGTAATTAATAACTACAAGAATTCCGGAGAACGCCCAAACATATATTAGTAAACGCACACGAAAATATTTTCATGCTCATCCGTTATTACATATGTACGTTATCGTGTAAGGAGACATATTTGCATTTAATAAACAAGAAGGAAAAATTAATGACAACAACAGATGTTACATTACAAGTAATGATTCAAAGTAATTGAGACAATTATAATTGTAT